AAAAAAAAAAAAAAAAAAAAAGATTTTCCATTAGTTGTACCCAAAGAGTTACCAGGAATATGTAAGGGACTGGAGGGTTGGATGACGGCACATGTGGACTATATCGGATACACCTGTAAACAATTCTGCAAACTTAGTTTTCTAAACCTGAAGAGCAGTGGGGAGAAAAGATAAACACATGCATCTAAGAAATCCAGATATTTCCAACTTAATTTTCTCAAGTAGAAATTAAACTGCTTTGAATGAAGTTTGTCAGTCTGAGTTATTGTTCTTTTTCTGAATTAAGAACTAGAGCTCTGTAAGTTTTGACCTGTCGCAAATAAAAGTAATGGTCTTCTTTCTGTATTAAAAAATACTGTTAAACTTTGAGGTGCTATCCAGAAATAAAAATTAACCCAAATTGAGTTCATAAGTCGGAATTGGACTTATCTTAAGCTTTATTAAAACCATTAATTATGGTATCTCATATGTTTTAACTTTTGCTTGCAACTAACGTGTTTTTATATACTTCAGATGCAACAGTCCCCAAACAGACACATACTTTCCTAGTACAATGCTAGTGGGTAGGGATTTTTTAAATCTAAGTTACTATAGAACAGAATACTGCTATATAGAACATAGATTTCAAAGATCCAGTGGAAGGAATTTCAATTCTTATAAAATTAGGCAGAAAGGAATAAGTCTTACCAATGGTTTCCAACATTTTTTTTCAAAATTCAATGTTCTTCTCTACAGTGACTTAAAATAGAAATTGAAGTAACTCTGAGAAGAAAAGAAATAAAATGAAATGGTTACTTTTTATCAGAACTTTGTAATTGTATTTTAAAACTATTCTAAAAAGCACTTGCTAATGTAACTGAAGACAGTTATCTTCATAAGCAAAAAAAGTAATAATTTTAAAACTTATTCAGAATTGTCTTGTATATATTCACCCATAATGCCTGCATTATGAGATAAAGACATAAATTCTATTTTATTAAATAAGATAGTAGAAGTTTCCAACATATTTCCTTAAGACCTCAGTGCAGAATGTTGTAACCCTGGATTCACTTAAAGATGCTTAACCGTAGAATAATGAGCTCACTTGAGTCTGTATAAAAAAATTCTGTGGGCAATAATATAAAATGTACACGGTATGAAACTGCCCTCAAAGGCTCACAGTCGTAACTTGGGGGACAAACACACGTACCAATTAGAAATGAATTATGACACTCAAGCAGTACGTGAGAATAAAATACTTTAAATCATAGATGAATATTAAAGAAAAGGAAGCGTGGTGTTAAGTTTTTCAAAGGTTTTCAAAATATCTTGACTATAATGTTCTCCTCTTTCCTGTTCAAAGGCCTTTTCAACTCCTTTAATCTACGCAGATATCATCTTTCTACGACGACTGAAACTAGACACTTTGAAGTATTCGATACAGATCTGCACTTGCCAACACCCACATCACTAACCCATCTTCAGCCTCTGCTGGCCAACGATCCTGCACAACTGTCTCCATGGTTCCACCTAGTCTTCACCTCGAAAACCCTAAGTCAACAGGTAGTCAGTCAGTCATTCCTTCAATCAAAAAAAGGAATGGTCCATCGTCCATTTTCATCCTTCGTTTGGAAGGTGAAATAGGGTATTGCTCCGAGAAAGAACAAGTTGCTCCTTGTTACCTCTTCAACACAAAATACATTTGGCAAAAAAGGAAACATGTGATGGAGATGAGCAGATGCACAGAACATCAATGCCTGCAATTAGCTCTGTGTAATAACAGAGAACAGTACTTGTTGACTTTCCTTATCCCAGTTTAGAATATACTATTTAAAACACCAACTCCATTTCAAATGTCAAATTTCTCAAACACTGGCACCCTGGTGTCAGGAAAAGAGGCCACTGGCTCTGACCTGGAATTGAAACTTAAATAACAGCATGGCCTTGAACAAAGAGCTTATCTTCTCAACCTCAGTTTCCTAAAAACCAAACTTAGTCCTTGAGTATACTATGTTCCCAAAGGCAGACACTACAGGGTTTTGTGAAACCTAACAGAGACATCTTAAAAATATGTTAGTAGGGGTTGTGCCTGTCGCTCAGTGAGTAGGGTGTCAGCCCCATATACCAAGGGGGGTGAGTTCAAACCCAGTTCCAGCCAAACTGCAACAACAAAAAAATAAAAATAAATAAATAAAATATGTTAGTAGGGCCAGGTGCAGTGGCTCATGCCTGCAATCGAAGTACTCTGGGATGTCGAGGTGGAAGGATTGCTTGCATTCAAGATTTCAAGACAAGCCTTATCTCTACTAAAAACAGAAAACAGAAAAATTAGCCAGGTGTTGTTGCAGGCACCTGTAATCTGTTACTTAGGAGGCTAAGGCATGTGGATCTTTGAGCCCAGGAGTTTGAGGTTGCTGTCTAGCCTGAGGCAACAGAGTGAAAAATCTGTCTCAAAGGAAACAAAAGTAATTTTTTAAATTCTTATTTACAAAGAAAATATAATATTCTTTCATAAAACAGCCTACTACTAGGTATCCCCCTTCAAAAAAAATTAACTCCTGACAATTAAATAATAAACATAAAGATTGGTCAAAATAATGAGGCCCAGGTCTACAAAGGTATATTTAACTAAGTAGTCTAGGAGGAAGCATGATAACAACAAAAAAACATGGACTTATGAGTCTCTTGACCTCAATTTAAATTTCACCTTGACCACTTTCCTAGCAACGTGCACGTATCTTTTTTAAATCTTGATCTCTGTTCACAAATGAATGACATTTACAAAGTTTTGAATGGACAAAATTATAGACATGAGTGCTTAGCATGCACGAAAAAAAATTAGCTCTATCCTCTTTGCCCTACGAAACATTGATTCACAAAGATAGGTGGTATTCATGATGGGGGCAGCTTATGGGTTTAGAAGCTCATTGATTTATAAGGAATCTGCAGAGAAAGTACACAGTAGGCAGTTCCCAACAGAGAAAAACACTGTTGTCCAAAAGCTCACCTACAAGTCAGTTGTTCTGAAATAAAATTACTTTTTCTTCCCCCAAGAAACTCTTATAAAAGTTGAAAAAAGCCAGTTCAGCCTTAAACCACTAACAGTAGCTCCCAGATGAGAAATTTACTCCCCTGTAGTTGTGATTAAAAAAAAAAAAAAAAATTACAGTTCCACATTTTCTTTTTTCTACCTTGATGCCCCTAAAAATAATGCACTGTTTTCTTTTGTTTTGTTGTTGAGTTTTTCAGGGTATTTTACTGCTAACAACCTTGACAAAGAGGTAAGAATTACCCAAAGGGGAAAAACAAAGTTCTTTTTTATGTGTTTTAGTCCTATCCCAAGGATTCAGTATTAATTATAAAAAAACTCATTTGGAATCACAGAATTTCTGAGATGGAGAGATTGAGTCCACTCTCTTCAAATTGCAGCCGTGAATTCTCCTCTTTGCCCTTCTGTCCATTTCCACACGATGTGGAAAACTAAGGATCCCTGGGTAAGAAGAGTGGGTCAGGCTGATGAGTGCAACAAAGAACATCTGACATGGAGGAAGAATGCAGATGTCTGAGGATCTTTCTGGGAAATTCATGCTGGCAGTGATGATGACAAGTCAGAGGGGCAATGAGAGAGGAAAGGAGCTGTGCTATGGTAACAAGGAGGCTGATGCTAACGCTGGAGCAGAAGCAGCAATAACAGCAAACACATAGTACCTCCCACATGTACGGCTCTGTCCAAGTAAGTCCTTTAACCCTCACACAATCCTCTCACTTCACAAATGAAGAAACTGAGGCATGGGAAGGCTAAATAACTTGTCTGAGGCCACACCATGAGTCAGCCAGGATTGGAACACAGACAGTCTTGCTCTAGAGCCCACAGCTTAACTTCTACAATATGCGGCCTCTTGATAGGAGAAAGATTCACCTTACCATTCTCTTCCTTGTTCCAACATTCAAAACTGCCACACAGACTATGTTCTATAAAAGGTGAAACTAAAGGAAGAAACGGGGACCCAAAGCGAATGAAATCTGATATGGAACAGACTGGTAGAGACATTCACATTAGCCGAGGGTCCACAGAAGGCATAAAGAAGTTAGAGTTATATATTTTAGAAATCACTGGTAGGTGTATGAAGAAAGATCAGTAATATCCATAATATGTAATATTCATAAATGTTTAAACAACACTCTTAAAATTCAAGATTTTAAGAAATATCTTAAATAAGAAATAAGCCAACTTATATCAATATTTAAAGTACATTCAAAACCATAGCTGTTATATTCCAAGGTGCTAAATCCCTCAACACAATGAGAGTTAAAATACACAATGTACTATTGTAATTGTTCTGCTGTGTTGTTAATTATTATTGTTCGTCTCTTATTGTGCCTAATTTATAACTTAACTTTTATCATAGATACATTTGTTTAAGAAAAAAACATAGTACAGGCATACCTCAGAGATATCTGGGATTCAGTTCCAGGCTACCACAAAGTTAGTCCTACAAAGCATATTAAAGATATGTTTAAAGTATACTATGGTCTATCTGGTATGCAGTAGCACTATGTCTGACAAAGCAACCACACACATACTTTAATTTAAAAATATTTTATTGCTAAAAGTGCTAACAATTACCTAATCCTTCAGCGAGTCTTAACATTTCTGATGGTTGGTGAAGGGGCTTGGCCCCATGGTGTTTACTGTTGACTGATCAGGGTGTGGTTGATGCCATTTCTTAAAATAAAATGACAATAAAGTTTGTTGCATCAATTGATTCATCCTGTCATGTAAGATTTCTCTACAGTATACAAGGCTGTTTGATAGCATTTTACTCACAATAGAACTTCTTTCAAAATTGAAATCAATTATCTCCAGCCCTATGCTTTATAAACCGAGTGTAATATTCTAAATCCTCTGTTGTCATCTCAACAATTTTCATAACATTTTCACCAAGATTAGATTCCAGCTCAAGAAACCACTCTTTGTTCATCCATGAGAATCGACTTCTTATCTGTTCAAGGTCCACCGTAAATGGAGCAACTCAGTATCCCCGTCAGGCTCTACTTCTAATTCTAATCTGCTATTTCCACCACATCTGCAGTGACTTCCTGCACTGATGCCTGGAACCTGGCTAAGTCATTCAGGTGGGCTGGAACCAATTTCTTTCAAACTTTTGTTAACGTTTATATTTTGATGACCTCCCATAAATGAAGAACATTCTAAATGACACCCTTTCCAAAAGATTTTTCATTGAATTTCCCCAGATCCATCAGAGGAATCACTATCTTTGGCACTTACAGCCAAAGGAAATGCATTTCTTAAATAAGAAGACTTAAAAGTCAAAATTATGACTTGACTCACAGGCTGCAGAATGGATATTGTGTCAGCAGGCATGAAAGCAACATTAATATCTCTGTACCTCTCTATCAGAGATTGTACATGACTAGGTGCATTGTCAATGAGCAGCAATTTATTTTAAAAAGAATTTTTTCTGAGAAGGTCTCAATGGTGGGATTAAAATATTCAGTAAACCATGCCATACATATATGTGCTGTCATCCAGGCTTTATTGTTCCATTTATAGAACACAGAAGAAATAGATTTAGCATAACTCTTAAGAGCTTTAGGATTCTGGAAGTGATAAATAAGCATTGTTTTCAACTTCAAACCACCAACTGCATTCGCCCCTAACAAGGGAGTCAGTCTTTCCTTAGAAGCTTTGAAGCCAGGCATTGACTTTTTCTCTCGAGCTATTAAGTCCTAGATGGCATCTTCTAATATATGGGCTTTTC